TGCAGTAAATTTGTTCAACAATTGAAGTCTGATGCAGTAAATTTGTTCAACATTGAAGTCTGATGCAGTAGTTTGTTCAACAATTGAAGTCTGACGCAGTAAATTTGTTCAACATTGAAGTCTGATGCAGTAAATGTGTTCAACAATTGAAGTCTGATGCAGTAAATTTGTTCAACATTGAAGTCTGATGCAGTAAATGTGTTCAACAATTGAAGTCTGATGCAGTAAATTTGTTCAACAATTGAAGTCTGATGCAGTAAATTTGTTCAACATTGAAGTCTGATGCAGTAAATTTGTTCAACAATTGAAGTCTGATGCAGTAAATTTGTTCAACAATTGAAGTCTGATGCACTAGAACAGGGCATGAGTGGATAGGAAAGTTGTGCTTTAATGGGTGTAATGATCACCAGTAACATGTAATTATAACTAATACCTTTGTTGCTATCTTCAAAAATAGGACTACAAATACATTATGAGGAAACAAATATATAAGAGATACCAACAACAAAAATGTGGAGTGACAGTAAATATCTGAGAAAAATCATGAACTTAAAATGGAATAGATTAGAGAAAAGTCTGGACAAATACTTGTATCCACTGCAATAAAAAAAAGAAAGCGATATGTTAGGCAAACTCTGAGACCAAATGAGCAAAGGATTAGGAAACAAGCACTAAAATGGAAAAAATAGTCTGAGGGTAAAAAAAAAAAAAAAGAAAGACAGGATGTCTAAGGGCAACATTAAGAAAAACATTAACATTAACAGCTAAAAATGCTGGGCTGAACTCCATGTCAGAAATCGAGAGAGTTGCATGCAGCACAGAGGAGTGAAGGAATCGAATTCGAGTCCTATGTGACGTCTGAGGGCACATGAAGGATACTGATGATGACTGTTGCTACTTAAATTCCCAGTCTTGCAGTTTGACATTATGAACATATTCCAGTATAACACTGTGACATTTTAACGTTTCTTGTCCACAGATTGACAAGCCTGTTACATTTAGTGTTAATTTCAATGGGGCCAAAGGTCAACTACACGCGAGTGTGCGCACACCATCTGGTGGTCACACAGACTGCATGTTTCAGGCAAGTATCTCAGTGATGTTTTCCACATGACTACTTCTTCACATGATATAAGAGATCATGTTTCAGGCAATTATCTCACTGAGATCTTCCTACATTCCACATGACTAATTCTTCACATAATATAATTATATGAGATCATGTTTCAGGCAATTATCTCACTGAGGTCTTCCTACACTCCACATGACTAATTCTTCACATAATATAATTATATGAGATCATGTTTCAGGCAATTATCTCACTTAGGTCTTCCTACATTCCACATGACTAATTGTTCACATGATATAATTAAAGGAGATAATGTTTCAGGCAAAGCTTCCTACATTGCACATGACTACTTCTTCACATTCAATAATTTTAAGAAATCATGTTTCTCCCCACTCTTTCATTTGTTGCATTCCTTCTCAATAATTACATCACAGTTATCTTTCTCCTGCTGCTCCTTTCCCTTCTCATTCCTGCATCTCATTTTTTAAAATCCTCCTCAACCCTCAGTTCTCAGCCCTCAGCTCAGTGGAATTTTGGATCTTTGATTAGAATTCTTCATTTTCTCCACAACCGCTCACTTGAGCTTGTTTTGTTCCTAGTCACTGACCCCCACATATTCATTGACTAGCAAGCAATAGTCGCTCTATAGTCACACATTTAGAGATGCACTTGTCAGGCAGCTAGACTGAGCCTTATGGGATCAAACCGAATGTTGTGAAATTGCTCCTCTCCTTTCACCTTTACCTTCACCTTCACCTTTACATTATTTATATCACCAAGGTAGTCACAAGTTCATTCACTAGCAAGCAGTATTTATTGTTACATCACTGAGGAGGTCACACATACCTTAGAAATCTTACACTGACAATATTCTACCCATTATCATGTCTATTATTTGTAATACTAGTTATTTAAGCAACAGTATCTTGTTCAACCCCTCTAGGTTATTACTGGGATATATAGAGAGTTATTTTTTGATATTTCAGTAATGGATATTTATGCCAATCAATTATCTTTTTTTAGTAAATATTGCAGTAAAAGTAGTAGTAGATTTTTACCCCACCAGGACATCACACAAGCGATAAACACCCGATAACACAAAATGCCACCATGTGTGTGAGGATCACCCGTGGAGAGGTTCCAGAAACCGCGTCCAGCTATTAGACCATATTTATGGTCGGGCTATATTGCGGCCGGGGAGTTGCTGTGGCCGAGCTGCTAGACACTCGCCGCAGATCGGAAGGTCGTGGGTTCGCTCCCTGTCGGAGTCAGACTTTTTTTCAAAAATGACCTTGGCTCTCTGGTCGACCCAGCCTTGAGTGGGTACCGTGTGCAGTCCCGGGAAAGTAAAGGCGGCCGGCGTGATGCTGACCACATCACCCATCTTGTGCCGATTGGTCTATAAAAATATAGGTCTAGCCCTATATGCCCTATACGCCTAAAGTCGCGGAAAAGGTCCTCTAACTACTTATATTTCGGCTTCAAAATAACGAAAAATTGCATCTCACATGTGGATGACTGGATGCAACAAGGGTTAACATAGAGCATATAAATATTGCAAATTGTATATATCAATTAAATATGAATGTAGGAATATAGATTGCCTGTTTTAACATATTATATGTGTACTATCTAATGTTTGCAGGAAATGGACACGGGTGTGTACGCAGTGCGTTTCATTCCAAAAGAAAACGGCGTCCATTATGTGGACGTGAAGTTGAATGATGCCCATATCCCTGACTCACCTTTTCCTGTGATGGTTGGTTCCCTGGCCGCTGACCCCGCCCTGGTTACCGCAAGTGGGGATGGTCTGGAGCGTGGCAAGTGTGGTAAGTCAAAGGTGTGCATGGTGTCAGGATCTCCCGACAAGCAGCTGCTCTAGGTTTGTTGTTTTATGGCGATGAGGCAAGGTGAAAGGTGACAGTGTGTGTGTATGTGGGTGGGTGTTTGTGGGTGGGTGGGTGGATGAGTGCGTGTGTGTGTGTGTGCATGTGTGTGCATCCTTGGTTTTACTTATAAATATACATATATTTGACTGTGAGTGTTTGTGTGCGTGTGTGTGTATGTGTAATGATATTGTTTTCTTGATTTAATCACAATATCTTTATCTTTTCCTTATCTTTTCCCTGTTGACATCTGTGAGTGAGGAGGACAGCCTCAGCAGAAACTAATCCCGCTGCAGTGTCGGCATCAGCTGAATCCTATCATCGGATGCTGGTTGCTGTTGTTATAATCTAAGTTGAAATAATAAGAAAATAATAGGAACAAAACAAAAAACAAAAAAGAATTTAAAAAGAAAGAAAGATAGAACAAATGAATAAACAAATAAACGTTATTTTCAAAGGGTCACACATTTGGCGGGCAACCCCATCTTATATTCCGCCCCTTTCAGACTGCAATTCAATTTTATCTATAAAGCATTTTATGTGGACAAAAAATTAGGAAAGCGAGGATGAATGAACAAAACGAATGAGAAACTATTTGGCTCACACCAATTTGTTGAAAGTCAGGAATGTAGAAAAGGACAGATGAAAGGATTTGAAGTTGTGTTTTTGTCAGAGTATGTTGACTAAATTGTTTAGCTGACCAGCTACGTCTGTTTGTAACTGCAGGTGCCAAGAATTCATTCGTGGTGAAAACTGCAGGGGCTGGCACTGGTCTTCTGGTTGTCTTTATTGACGGCCCGTCGAAATCTGCAGTCAGCTGCAAGGAACTTGACGAGGGCTACGAGTTTGTCTACACTCCTTTCTGTCCAGGCAACTACTTGATAACCATCAAATATGGCAACATCCCCATCGCTGGATCACCTTACCAGGCAGTGATTACAGGTAAGGCAATTGACGACTGGACCAGGCAATTATTAAAGGTAAGGAAACTGATCATTGCACCAGGTGGTGATTACAGGTAAAACAGTTGACCACTGGACCAGACAGTGATTACAGGTAAAACAGTTGACCACTAAACCAGGCAGTGATTACAGGTAAAACAGTTGACCACTAAACCAGGCAGTGATTACAGGTAAAGCAATTGACCACTAAACCAGGCAGTGATTACAGGTAAAACAGTAGACCACTAAACCAGGCAGTGATTACAGGTAAAACAGTTGACCACTAAACCAGGCAGTGATTACAGGTAAGGCAACTGATCATTGGACCAGGCACACTATTTGTATTCGACTGAATAGTTAGTCCCGTTATTCGTGTTTGGCTGAATAGTGACAATTTCTATTCGGTATAGCCCTAAAAGAAAGAAAAAAAATCCACAGATCTTGCATTCAATGGGCTTCTAGCTAGGAACCTATAAATGTATGATATGATATCTGTATTTTGGAACTGAAAGAGTTTAATCATTGTAGAATGAGAAAGTTAAATCATTGTAGACTGATAGAGTTAAATCATTGTAGACTGATAGAGTTAAATCATTGTAGACTGAAAGAGTTAAATCTTTGTAGACTGAGAGAGTTAAATCAGTGTAGACTGAGAGAGTTAAATCATTGTAGACTGAGAGAGTTAAATCATTGTAGACTGAAAAAAGTTTAAGCAGTGAGAGACTTGCTAGGATGTAAAAACAAAAACAATAAAATCTGACTTTGAAATATGTAATAGTGTAATAACATTAGGGACAGGAATCAAGAAGAAGAAAAGAAACAATTATCAGAGTAAATCTAGATTGCAGGTTCATTATTTGAATGATAATTACCATAGTAACAACTTCTTTCAGATTCCCTTTATAACATAGAGGGAACGGTTTTTATTAGTGTGAAAAATACAACAAGAGCCATTCTTGGTAAATTACCTGTGATTTTATAAATTCTCACTAAAGACAATTTCATAATTTGACTCTAGTTTCTAATCATCAACCTTGAAAGTAAAGACATTTCAAAGACAACCTTGAAAGTAAAGAAATTTCAAAGACAACCTTGAAAATAAAGAAATTTCAAATAAATCCTTGAAAGTAAAGAAATTTCAGAGACAATCTTGAACTGAAGAAATTTCAGAGACAAGAAGTGATTGTAGAGGAAAGAAACAGAATTTAATTACTATAATATTGGATGCATCTTATTTATTAATGTAAAACCTGAATAACAAACATGAGCTTTTAGTAATCGAGACTGCTGCAGACGTCATTCAACTGGTAGTCTCCTGTGTTTGGACTTTGCTTGTTTTATAGAAAATCTCTGTCACATGTACTCTAAAAAATAGCATATTTTAGGGTTTAAAAAAAAAATCTTTAAAATCCAAGCAACAACAATAAATAAAATGATATGCTGGTACTTTCAAAATGTGAGACCAAAATCATATTGTGTGTTAATTCATAGTCATTTCAAATTTCAGACAGCTAGCCAGGTGGGGAATTTAATGATTCATTTTTAAATAATAAAACAATCCCAGGTTGTATCAAGTTTTCTTTAAGAAATATGTTTATCCTATTTATCATAATTCAATTCACATATTATTAATTCATCAATATATTCCTAAACAAACAATAGCATTGCATCCACCCAGTGGCCAACCTGGCAAAGAGGTTATTGAACCAATCCTTTCTGTGACCAGGAGACTCGTTACCATCTGCCTTTATTCACTTGAATTTTCACACGCCTGTTTGAATTTTTACTTTCATACAATTAACATTGTTTTGTTCACATGTGCAGTTTGCATGTTTCTGAGCGTTTTTTTTGTTGTTTTTGTATTTAAATTAACCAATAATTTGCCATAAATCATCTATTTAGGAATAATTACCTTGATGTGACTCACATTTGTTCAACAAATATTGTACAGATTTTGATGTGCATTTTTGAGTTGAGTTGAGTCAAGAATTGACATCACAGCACTTAGGGCATTCCAATATGGGCTTAGTCCTTATCTTTAGCAGCCAGCGCAGAGTTCCTGTTTAAATGGTACCAGTCGAAATCTGGTTATATGTCTGTCTTGCCTTTCCCCTGAGTGTAGTGAGCCGGCCACACCCCCTGGTTACACCGAGGTGCCTCATTCTCTCAAGGCCATAATAATCTTGTTTCGCTTCTGATTTCTTTACTTGTTCCCAAAGGGCCCTGCCCACATTTGCCTTGTGATGTATTATTTCACCACCCAGTGGTGCAGATCCAGCCAGTCTGTCTGTCTGTTCATTCCCACCACGCCAGCATAGCCTAGAGAAAAGATCCAAAGTATTTTCACTACCACTGACCTTCAAGGTGAAGCTTGCGACAGTACTGTGTACCATTACATATGCCCCCCCCCCCTTTTACCCGAATAAAACGTTAACCATTCAAAGACACACAGACTGGAGTTTTGTGAGTCATACGAGAAGCACAGGCCGTACAGTCTGAATGACTCTCTCTGTAATCATAAACTAAATGATAACAATTCTATTGTTGAGTCTAGAGCTTCTTCAAGGAAGAAATCTGTTGGGAGCAGCCTTCATTGATTGCTGGTGTTCATGTTTCAGGTACCGGCCGTAAGCCCTCGCCGGTGGTTGAGCAGACGTGTATGGCAGTTGAGACTGTGGAGAAGAAGCCGGGCTCTGGTTCGAAACTGAAGAAACTGAAAGGTGATGCCAGCAAGGTCCAGGTGAAAGGACCTGGTATCAAGAAGGCTTTTATTAACAGGGTGCAGAACTTCAGCATAGAAGTCAAGGATGCAGGTATGTTTATTGAAGAGTATTCTGTTACTACCTTTGCTCTTTAATGTGGTCTTCTGTCTTGTATTATTGATGCACTTACAATCTAGTTTTATTCCCCCTTGCCCCCAAATGCATGACTGTGGAAAGATGTAAAGACAAACATGAACCATAAAGTCTCATTCATAAATAATTAAAAAAAAAAAATAAACGATGTAGGCATATATTAAAACGGATTGTGATGAGAATTTGTACAGAAATAATCAGATTTAATTTATCATAACATGTTAGAAGAGTGGAAGTGTGAAGTCTATCGTTCATATTGACAGGTTTTATGTGGATAACAGTTTTTCCTATTATTCGGTTTTATAACACAGTAAGACAGTAAGCGTTCACAAATTCTGAAATTGTTTTGGTTAATCTTTCACAGGAAATGCTGTCCTGTTTGTAGGAATGGTGTCCCCTACAGGGTTTCCAGTAGCAGAGCTGACAGTGAAGAAAGCAGGTCCCACGACTTACAATGTCACGTACAAGGCTACGGAAGCTGGAGAACATGTCCTTCATGTCAAGTGGGGCGACGAGGACGTGCCCGGCAGCCCGTTTGTTGTCAGTACATGAGAATCTACATGACAACACTGTCGCTGTCATATTCTCATTACCATCTAGAATATTTTACTTAAATTTGACTCCCATATGACTCAGTTGATGAAAAATCGATGACTAATCTCACTGAAGGAAATTGATTTTAAAAATATTTGTTTAGTAAAATTATTTATTGTCAGAAAGATCAACATGCACTTGTTAGTATATCTGTGAGTTTGTTGCAATAATATTAAATTTTTAAGTTACATCATGAAATAGCTTAGAGTATTTTACAAAGTATATTTTATAATGTTCCATAAAAATTAGAACAGGTTTGAAAAAAAAAAAAAGCTGTTTATTTATTTTGTTCTAAGGTCAAATTCTTAATTATATGTAAATACACATCTTTATATGCAAAAGTCAGATCAAGGGATGCAACAAAGTATGATTGTTTTAAAGACAGGAAAGTTATTACCCATTCACTATCACATGCCATAGATACTGTTTGAAATAAATATTCACTAATTACATCGGGTTCTGTTTCTTAGTAAATTAACCAGCACAAGAAAAGCCACAGATTAATAAATAAATAAACAACGCACAGGTTTGTACCGTATTAGTTTTTTAAAATTGTGTTCGAAATATTCAAACTAGTTGTCTTGTTTGAAAATAGAATGATTATTTGATAGCAAAATACATTTGGCAACCTACAAATGGGAACAAATAGAGAGTGATGTGATAAGCATGTATGCACGGTTGAACAATAATCAAGCAAATGTGCAGAAAGGTTCGCCCAGAACAAGAAGTAGATATCATGAATGCCTGTAGACACATACATATGTACACCCATACATATAAACATATATGCATACAAACTCATATACATGCATTCACATACACACATATACTGTACATGCACATACATATACACACACATATACATATACCTTTTTACATGTGTATACATAAACACACATACACATATAAACACACATATACACACACACACTATAAACACACATGTACACACATACAAGTGTATTTATGTATTTTCTGAGCCAAATCTTTATGGACTGCAGTGTAAACAACAGCACAATCTTGCATTTAATGTTGTTGTTGCTGTTGTTGTTGTTGTTGTTGTTGTGCTATTTCTGCAGAAAATTATTAACTTATTTAATTGTGATTAAAAGATAAGAATTATCTTTATTGTTAGTAACATTATTTTTATGATTATTATTGATCTGATTCATTTTAAAGTTTAGCTTAATATTTCTGTATTAATGACTTTGAGCAAGAGAAAAACCTTGCACCTAAAATGACCTTGTAATATTTAAATACCCTTCCTGTTCAAATGTCCTTGAACCCTGTAGAGTGTACCTATCTACCCCTGATCTACCCAGTACCCAGTGCTCGTTCAGTTACCTCCCCGTGCCTTGTAGAATGTTTCTGTACATGATGTTATTTCCGGTAAACCTGAAGGGCTGGCACGTGTGCCTGCTACACCCAGTGTAGTCTTCTTGTAACCTCTTGGAACCTCATCTGCTGGCTGTGACTGCCTGTGTGTGTGTGTGTGTCTGTCTGTGGCTCATATTCACAAATTAATCAGTTTAACAAATTGTATTCACATTTAATTCACATGATATCACTTGTATCTGTACATGTGAAATTTTTTTCTTGTTTAAATCCCATTAAATTACTCCACTATTACAACTCATGTTTTGGAATTTAGTTGATGCTGTCTGAAAGGACTGTTAGATTGTATGAAGTAAATTATTTATCTAAACAACAAAAAATATTGCAATTTATTTCATAGGATGGGAAGTCAACATGGCGTTAGCGGCTAGACGCTCACCTGCGTTTCAGAAGGTCGTGGTTTACTCCCTGGCAGACCTGAACTTTGTTCAGAAATAACCTTGGTCCCGGGTCGACCCAGCTTTGAGTGGGTATATGGTGCAGTCCTGGGGAGTAAAGGCTGACCACATAACCCATCTTGTGCCATTGGTCAATAAAATATAGATCTAGCCCTAGATACCTATTGCGCCTGAAAGGCCTGGAAAAGGGTCCTTAACTGTATTTAACAGGATACAATTGTTCTGCTTGCTGAGTACGCACCTGCATTTAGAACAGTCATTGTTGTGTGTCCTTCATTTATTGTCTGCAGCAGATGTAGTACAGACCATTTCTTTGATATGATTGTTTATCAATATACCAGGCATTGCTATTATTTTATTTGACATTAGAACTACACTAGCATTTTCACTTATATATATATATATGTGCGTGTGTGTGCGTGTGTGCGTGTGGGTGTGTGTGTGTGTGTGTGTGTGCGTGTGTGCGTGTGGGTGTGTGTGTACGTGTTTGTATATATATATATATATTACAGTTTTGCTAACTGAAAACGCAGATGATCTATAACAACTGCTAGATATTGTGGGGATGGAGAGTGCTAAAAATGGACTTTCCTTAAAATAAAAAAAATTACAAATGGAAGTAATGGTTATATCAAAGAAAAAGATAACTCCCCATTGTGATATCTCAATTAAAGGAAAAAAAAGACTTAACCAAGTCAATAAACTCAAATATCTGAGAACAATCATTTGATCATATGGAAAATGTGTGACAGAGATTAAAAGCAGAATAAGTCATGCGAAAGCTGCATTTCAGAAAATGAAAAATATCTTATGCCATAAATCAGTCCTATTTAATGTCAGAAAAAGAATGCTAAAATGTTTCATAAGAACTTGTTCTGCTGTACGGCAGTGAATCTTGGAATGTCAGGGAACGAATGAAGTCGAATTTAGAAGCCACAAAGATGTGGTTTCTGAGACGAATGTTACGAATACCTTGTCGGGCCAGAGTAAGTAACAAAGACTGTTTGAAAGTAGCTAGTGAAAGTAGATCTCTATATACAACATTAAGAATGAGACACAGTTCTCTGGCCACATAATGATAAGAGCATTGGAAGACATCATAACAACTGGAAAGATCAGGGGAAAAAAGGATAGAGGCAGAACAAGAGAAATGATGCTGGATGGGCTGAAATGATGAAACGGAAGGATATCATCAAGAGAGCTGTTCCAGGCAACCAGAGATATACTTGAGCACCTACGCAGTTGGTAGGGCACATAATGATGATGATATTGTTTGTATTTCTTTTGTTTCTTTTTTTCTTCTTCATATTTGTTGTTGTTGTTCTTGCCTTCTTCTTTACTGTTATTCTTTGGTGACATTTTACTCACTGTATGTGAGAGGAAGTTAAATTGTTACAACAGCAGACAATTTTCTTTAGTGGTCTGGTGGACGAGATGTAAGATTGTGTATTGTGCGGGTAATCTCCTCTTATCAGCCGTGTTAGTGGGTAATGTGTCATTTGTGAGTGACTCGGGATCACACCCTACTCATCTCTCATACCTGGGGCATCACTTTCTTGTGCTGTGTTAGGTACATATTCTTTCATTGTTTTTTCTGTTTAATTCTCATAATGAAGATATTTACTCCTTGTTTATTATTTTACTGATACAGAAGAAGTTTAACTTCTTTTACTGTACTCGTCAAGATGAAAAAAGCAGGCACTGTTCCCAACAAAAAAATAGAACTGTCTTGGTCTGGGGTCATTGACTTATGTAGTCTGATGGATCCGCTGTGTGTTTGACTTGGCTGATTGGCTGCAGTATTGATTATTTCATGGTGACCAGATTAGCTGCAGGGTTTGTTGGTTGGTCGTTGGCTGCAGTATTGATTATTTCATGGTGACCGGATTAGCTGCAGGGTTTGTTGGTTGGTCGTTGGCTGCAGTATTGATTATTTCATGGTGACCGGACGGATTAGCTGCAGGGTTTGTTGGTTGGTCGTTGGCTGCAGTATTGATTATTTCATGGTGACCGGATTAGCTGCAGGGTTTGTTGGTTGGTCGTTGGCTGCAGTATTGACTATTTCATGGTGACCGGATTAGCTGCAGGGTTTGTTGGTTGGTCATTGGCTGCAGTATTGATTATTTCATGGTGACCGGACAGATTAGCTGCAGTGTTTGTTGGTTGGTCACTGACTGGAAAGCTAATCGATTAATTGGGGCCCACCTATGTTTTGCCTGCTTAATTGCTACTGTCTATGTTTACCTGGTTAGTTGCTACTCTCTATGTTTACCTGGTTAGTTGCTACTCTCTACATTTACCTGGTTAGTTGCTACTCCCTATGTTTACCTGGTTAGTTGCTACTCTCTATGTTTACCTGGTTAGTTGCTACTCCCTATGTTTACCTGGTTAGTAGCTACTCTCTATGTTTGCCTGGTTAGTTGCTACTCTCTATGTTTACCTGGTTAGTTGCTACTCTCTATGTTTACCTGGTTAGTTGCTACTCTCTATGTTTACCTGGTAAGTTGCTAATCCCTATGTTTGCCTTGCTAGTTGCTACTCTCTATGTTAACCTGGTTAGTTGCTACTCTCTATGTTTGCCTTGTTAGTTGCTCATCTCTATGTTTTGCCTTGTTAGTCGCTACTCTCTATGTTTGCCTGGTAAGTTGCTACTCTCTATGTTTACCTGGTTAGTTGCTACTCTCAATGTTTACCTGGTTAGTTGCTACTCTCTATGTTTGCCTGGTTAGTTGCTACTCTCTATGTTTGCCTTGTTAGTTGCTACTCTCCTATGTTTACCTGGTTAGTTGCTACTCTCTATGTTTACCTGGTTAGTTGCTACTCCCTATGTTTGCCTGGTTAGTTGCTACTTCCTATGTTTACCTGGTTAGTTGCTACTCTCTATGTTTACCTGGTTAGTTGCAAGGTTTGTTGAATGCCTGGTTTACTACTGGATGGGTAATTTATCAGTTCTTATATTCTGTGATTAGTTGTTGTTTGAAAGCTTGTTTTGATGTTTGATCTGGCTAAATGTAAGTGTGGTGTATACGTTTCCTAATTCAAGGATACTTGGTGTCATATGGCTAGATGTAAGCGTTGCGCATACACTTCATAATTCAAGAATACTCGGAAGTATGTTGAGATTAACAATTTAGCAAGTAATAGTAATTATGTACCCTATGAAGCATGTCGTAGGAGGTTGTGAAGGGTTGAACTGATAGTGATTTTGGATATCGAATCCTGTATAATGTTTAAGCAACACATATATGAAGCAATAACAGTCAAATTACAGATTAATATATTCAACTTGTCTGATGTTTACATTAACATTTCATTACTTGTTTATTTCTGAGGTTAGTTGATATCTGGGAATAGTTTGCCGACCAGTTCTTTGTCTTCTGCTGGTCTTTACCCCCATCCCCTCCCCCTACCACCCCCAGTGGAGCATGCGCCTTTAACCAGTTTACATCTAGTGGTTCTGTCCTGTTAACTATTGTGTGCACTGTAAGCCATATCTTTCCCAGTGACAGGAGTAACAAGAGTCCAGCAATATCAAACACCATAAATATAACGCAGACTGTTACTAGACAGCTCAACGGCGAAAATGGAACACATTTACACCAATATTGTTGCCTTGTCTGTTGAGCGCTTCAGTCACAGACTGGAGTGTATTCTGTACTTCCTTGATTACAACTATGGTAGAAACTCTTGGCTTTATTTCCCCGCCACCTTTCTATTTCCTGCACTGACTTTGTAGTCGACTTTGGTGTCATATATAACACACCATATGTTTCCCATCTTTCTACTCAAGTATGGTGTGTCAGGTTGACGAGATAAGAGCCAGTCACCTGTGTCATCCAAGGTTTTCTATGGCGGTGGCAGTTTCACTCTCCACAGAAACAGAAAGAAGAATGCAGACATTTGAAAACACACCTACACATTCTGTACACATAGGGTTCAAGTTAAAGTCGAACGGTACACCTTCAATACACTGGGTTTTATCCAATGCGTCTCGGCTTCTCTTCTTACAACGGGTAGCTGTCTCTCGAAAACGTCGCACAAAGTATGAATTCCTTAGCTCCGGCGATGGATCTATGAGAAATTGGCCATGTGGACTGAACAACGAAGTCGTGAAATAAACCCACAATCTTCAATTCACCAAAAACTCAGCGAATACATCTGACGAATCCATCTGGCAAATACATTTGGCAAATACATCTGGCGAATACATCTGGCAAATACATCTGGCGAATACATCTGGTGAATACATTTAGCAAATACATCTGGCGAATACATCTGGCAAATACATCTGGCGAATACATCTGGTGAATACATTTAGCAAATACATCTGGCGAATACATCTGGCAAATACATCTGGCAAATACGTGTGGTGAATACATCTGGCAAATACATCTGGCAAATACATCTGGCGAATACATCTGGCGAATACATCTGGCGAATACGTCTGGCGAAAACATTTAGCAAATACATCTGGTGAATACATCTGGCGAATACATCTGGTGAATACGTCTGGCGAATACATCTGGTGAATACGTCTGGTGAATACGTCTGGCGAATACATTTGGCAAATACATCTGGCGAATACATCTGGCGAATATGTCTTGCGAATACATTTGGCAAATACATCTGGCGAATACATCTGGCGAATACATCTGGCAAATACATCTGGCGAATACGTCTGGCGAATACATTTGGCGAATACATCTAGCGAATACATCTGGCAAATACGTGTGGCGAATACATCTGGCAAATACATCTGGTGAATACGTCTGGCAAATACATCTGGTGAATACGTCTGGTGAATACGTCTGGCGAATACATTTGGCAAATACATCTGGCGAATACATCTGGCGAATATGTCTTGCGAATACATTTGGCAAATACATCTGGCGAATACATTTGGCAAATACATCTGGCGAATACATCTGGCGAATACGTCTGGCGAATACGTCTGGCGAATACATCTGGCGAATACATTTGGCAAATACATTTTGCAGTTTGTAAATATATTTAAATACTTCACATTGTGGAAGAGGTTGACATTATTGGAGCTTTACACTGTGATTTTTAGATTGTGAGAGAGGTTCACACTGTGAGTGAGGTTTAGATTGTCAGAGAGGTTCACACTGTGAGAGAGATTCACACTCTGGGAGAAATTCACACTGTGAGAGAGGTTCAAATTGTGAGAGCGGTTCACATTGTGAGAAAGGCTCACATTGGGAGAAAGGCTCACATTGTGAGAGAGGTGCACGCATGCACGCACGCACGCACACACACACACACGCACACACACACACACACACACTGTATAATGATTACATATAACAAAGAAACACAGTTTCTCCTACACATTCCAATATATACACTTTATTATATGTTATAAATAAATAAGAAACATGAATTACTGTTACCAATATCACATAATACACTTACATTCATACGTACAAACACAAAGACTGACACATTATCGTACTTCTGTACACTATCCTACTTCTAAATTGGATAATATAATGTGAAGTCATTACATTCACTGAAAACATAACATTTGCTCCCAGGTGAACAACTAAAATCAAAGCATTTACTGTTACAATCAGACGCTGACACAGTGTGAGACTGTCAAATCTACTGCCTACAATCATCACATTTACTGTTACAAACAGACGCTGACCCAGTGTGAGACTGTCAAAGCTACTGCCTACAGTCATCACATTCACTGTTACAATCAGACGCTGACACAGTGGGAGACTGACAAATCTACTGTCTACAATCATCACATTTACTGTTACAATCAGACGCTGATACAGTATGAGACTGTCAAATTTACTGTCCACAGTCTCACATTTGCTGTGGTCACGTGATGCTCTTCAAGCTGACATCATCTAGTACTACAAATGCACTCATTTCACAATTGCTTGACGCCCTACTTGAAACGTTCTGACGCCCCAACCCCTCTTCTGCCCCAGTATTGGAAACCACAGAGTCAAGAGCGAAGTAACCTTGAATGTGAAGTAACCCTATTTCGGATGACAGAAACTATAGCAACACAGTTGTCGCCCCCTGCAACAAGCTATATCTAGATGATCATATGTGTACATGAACAGAAATGTACATGGACAGATGTGTACATGAACAGATGTGTACATGAACAGATGTGTACATGGACAGATGTGTACATGGACAGATGTGTACATGGACAGATGTGTACATGAACAGATGTGTACATGAACAGATGTTCTAGCTTCTTTCTGACACAATATGTTCAACTAGCATCCCCGAAAGAGGAACTGTAAGTTATATTTGTGACTAGGTTATGTGCGCCCAAAAAAAAAAGGATTAGCACTGCACACCAACAGGAGACCTAAAAGGACTCCTACAGCCAACAGGAGAGAGACGCAAATACTGTCCCGCCGGGCGACGAAATCATCTACCGGCGAGCCCATGTGTGACCTGGTGGTCAGTGTAAATGAACATACATTGCTGAGATGATTTATGTGTGTGAGTAAGAAATTATTCTGTGAATTACTGAGTTGTTTTAATACAGTCAATACAAACAATAATTGCACGCTAACAAAACAAAAAACAAAAACAAAAAAGTAAAAGGAAAGGTCCCTTTAGGTGTATAGGACATATAGGGCTAGACCTATATTTCCTGGGCCTTTATTTCCTGGGACTCACCCGGTACCCACTCAATTCTAGGTCCACCTGGGAGTCAAGGTCATTTTTGAAAAATGTCTGGCTCCTCCAGGGAGCGAACCTCCCGATCCTCACGCGAGCGTCTAGCGGCCACGCCACGGCGACTTCCACAAAATAAAGTAGACCACACTATATACTGGACCAAGCTGCTTGCTGACTAAAGTCTGAACGGCTAGAACTAGCGATTTTTAATAGAACAGCCTATAAATGTAACTAGTATACACATTTAATACAATCGATGTGTCATCTCTGATGTGAGATATGCAGTGTGTCCTTTATTAACCGTGTGTTACCTTCATATAACCTCTGTTTTACGTCGCACATAAAAGTTTTATGTTGCACATAAACCGTGTGTTACCTCCATATAACCTCAGTTTTTTGTCGCACATAAACCGTGTGTTACCTCTATATAACCTTAATTTTACGTCGCACATAAACCGTGTGTTACCTCCATATAACCTTAATTTTATGTCGCACATAAACCGTGTGTTACCTCCATATAACCTTAGTTTTACGTCGCACATAAACCGTGTGTTACCTCCATATAACCTCAGTTTTTTTTGTCGCACATAAACCGTGTGTTACCTCCATATAACCTTAATTTTACGTCGCACATAAACCGTGTGTTACCTCCATATAACCTTAATTTTACGTCGCACATAAACCGTGTGTTACCTCCATATAACCTTAGTTTTACGTCACACATAAACCGCGTGTTACCTTCATATAACCTCAGTTTTACGTCGCACATAAACCGTGTGTTACCTCCATATAACCTTAGTTTTATGTCGCATGTAAACAGTGTATTATCTCCCTTGTAACCTGTGAATTATCAACTAGTGATTTTTTTCATGTAACATTGTGTTATCTCTCATATCAACTGTGTGGTATCCCCATTTAACACTGCATTATGTCCCATATGAACAGTGTGTTAACCCCATGTAACAATGCGTTATCTCCTATATGAACAGTGTGTTAACACCATGTAACAATGCATTATCTCCTATATAAACAGTGTGTTAACCCCATGTAACATTGCGTTATCTCCTATATAAACAGTGTGTTATCCCTATGTATTATTGTGTTATCTCCCATGTGAACAGTGTGTTATCCCCATATAACATTGCGTTATCTCCCATATGACCAGTGTAACATATGCCATTACCCTATAGCATCTACCAAGTTATCCCTCATGCAATTAGAGTGAAATCTGGCAGTAAATGAATGCTGACATGCAGTGTGTGATAAGTTTCTGTCTTGCATAGAAAAGTTCTATCATAACCCGCATTCCCCAACCCCACAAATGCGCACTTGTTCTTGCAATTAATCAGTTAAAATAAATCCGAGAGTCAGCAACAGTTGACATCATGCAGCCCAGCATGTTCTTTGAGAAAACACTAAGTGTGCCTGAAAGCTGCCCCAAACGTCAGAGGTCAGATGTCACAACACAGGATGAGCCAACCAGCAACCCATCCAGTCAGTCTGTGTCGTCATATCCGGGATGCAGGCTAGGTTGTCGTGACCCAGGTTCAGCCAGCTGAGGTCAGACATCGGTGCACTTCTCGCCCTCCTCACTGTCCAAGGTCTGTAGGAAAGAGTCAGTGAAGAGTTTCAGCAAGTGACAACAGTTTAACATCCAAGGCCAGATCGTTTCAAGTCTATTCCATACAATTATAATTTTAACACCTTCTGTCTGAAGCTTACTTTCCAGCTTTAATGGAGGAGCTGAGAGGATGTGGTTGGTTGGTCAGTGTAGATTCTGCCATCTAAGTTCCCTAAATGTTGATCTCATTTTACTTGTGTCTGCTTCTAATTCTCCTTTGTTTGTTTTCCCCCGTGCTTTCCAGTGAAAGGACATTATAGTTTTTCCAATATCATGTGGATTGCGCTTGTGAATATCATTATAGATGTTGGCGTGTCCTCCATTCTGGGCAGGCACAAGCTAAAACAGTGCCATAGCTAAGTCGTGAATCTACACAATCCAAGGGAAATAACTGGGGTAAAGGGGTTTGCTCAGCTGATGTAAAACAGTTCCCTCCCAGAGTTATATCGCCTGGTCCTGGGAACTGCGTCTACTATGGATGTAAAGTTCAATGCGAGAATGACAATCTTAGCCACAAAGTTCACATAGAAACGTTGTTCCCATCAAATATCTTTCTTAAATGTTTGTGTATTCTAGACAAACCATTAGGGTCTACTATGTTCGTAAATTGTTGCCGTATTTGTAATTCGACATATGCTTCGTTAATATAAATTTCTGTAACCTTTGTTGCCATTCTAATGATTTGAAATTAATTATGTCCGTATTCTATAGTTGTGGATTTCAAGCTGTACGATAGAAATGGCCAATAAGACACATTGGGGGTGAGAGGGGGGGGGGGGGGGGGGGAGGCTGCCTAACTTACCATGTTTTTAGTTCGATTGCCATACCGAGGCGCATACACCGTCTAGAGGTGACAGGTTCAATTCCCGGCACGGTAACTGTAGCTATCTTTCTACTTTTTTCCATGAGTGCCGATCAAAACACTTCCTATAACTGTATTAATATATAACACAGAAACGTTGACTCGCTATCGTTGTGAGGCTGGTTATCTCTATTTACATAGAGTGCTGCATTTGGTCTCTTTCAGACTGCAACAGTCTGTCATCTAGTGTCTGCTTCCTAGGGATTCCGTCTGCAGCTGATCTCTCCCGATATCTCTTCAGTGCTGAGGATCTATGACATAGCGTTGCTGATGTCTATCCTTTCCCTAATACTATGTTTGCACATGTTTTCATTTCACCATAGCGTTTTCCTTAACACTTTCACCATCCCTATATATCCTTTCCCTAATACTAGTTGACCATACAGACAATCCTTTTCCTAATACTAGTTCACCATAAGGCGATCCTTTCCCTAACACTAGTTCACCATACAGGCGATCCTTTCCCTAACACTAGTTCACCATACAGGCGATCCTTTCCCTATACCAGTTCACCATACAGACGATCCTTTCCCTAATACTAGTTCACCATACAGGCGATCCTTTCCCTAACACTAGTTCACCACACAGGCGATCCTTTCCCTAATACTAGTTCACCATACAGGCGATCCTTTCCCTAATACTAGTTCACCATACAGGCGATCCTTTCCCTAATACTAGTTCACCATACAGGCGATCCTTTCCCTAATACTAGTTCACCATACAGGCGATCCTTTCCCTAATACTAGTTCACCATACAGGCGATCCTTTCCCTAATACTAGTTCACCATACAGGCGATCCTTTCCCTAATACTAGTTCACCATAAGGCGATCCTTTCCCTAATACTAGTTTACCATACAGGCGATCCTTTCCCTAATACTAGTTCACCATAAGGCGATCCTTTCCCTAACACTAGTTTACCATACAGGCGATCTTTCGCTAATACTAGTTCACGATACAAGCGATCCTTTCCCTAACACTAGTTTACTATACAGGCGATCTTTCCCTAATACTAGTTCATCATACAGACAATCGTTTCCCTAACACTAGTTCACCATACAGGCGATCCTTTCCCTAACACTAGTTCACCATACAGGAGATCCTTTCCCTAACACTAGTGAGGTTTATGAAGACAGAGACTTCTCTGCTAACATAATCGAAAACCTTAGTGAGGTTTATGAAGACTGGGACTTCTGTTTGATTCTTGCACTATTTTTGTGGCTGCCTGGTGGAGAAGATCACATCTAGTGTTGATCTCCGGGCACTAAACCCACAAACATCATGTTATCACAGTCGACGCCACTGCACATTAGGCATTCGTGCTCAGACTCTGACGCAACAGCCTCCGCGGTACTTCTACTGACTGCTCTCATGAGGAGTTGGTTTTGATGTCTCCTATTTCGGACTCAACCTGCTTCGCCCTTCTTTATTCCCATGATACGCAATCGTGCTAGTACCAGAGACTCGTCAATGGTCTCTAGGCCAGTCCTGTACTAATGGCGCTGAGCAGCAGCCATGTCTGTCAGTGTTTCACTTCACCTGTCTAAATTATGTCCGCCTTGTTCAGACTCCACAAACAGTTGAAATATATCAGTATCTCCAGTTTTCCCACAGTCTCACCTCAAACGACTAGGACAGTCAGGTAGACCAGCCGCCTGTAGCCCTGTTACGGTACTCTGGACATTCAGCCCATTATGGCGAATAGG